CACGATTATTAATTGGCCAATTATTTAAATGACCGCTTCGTAATATTGAAATACTAAAAGCGCGCCGAATTTCGGGCTAGAGATTGGTAGAAAGTGTTAATGAATACATGCGCCAAGCGCGTATCGGAATGTTAATTACGAACATCTTGATTGCGCGCGCGCATACACGTGAATTAAATACGCAGCTACTTTTAATTAGCATTTTGTGGTGCTTCCTGTGCACAGATTTTTAGTTTTTGCATTTCACCTGCATGGACATTAAAAATAAAACACTCGTGTTTCGTTTGTGTTAATCAGCATCACTTGTTGTGCTGTTGTAAATTACACCGTTTAATGTCGATGTAAAAGAAATGGAATCAGCGAATAACAACGCGCAACAAAACAGCAAAAAGTGATGTGAAATGAATCGGCGCATAAAATCAGCCGCCATGTTCGGATTTATCTATTTATATGCGCGTGCGTTTCGCTTAAACGTCGCCGTCGACTTTTAATTTATGATTCGTAACGCCGAACGAATGCGCGTTGTTTATAGCGAGCTAAATGCGACGACTGTAAATTTCGCGTTTTACTGTTGACACAACGACAACATTGCCGGCACAAAACTAAAGAAATACAAATGAAACACTAGATGATTGCAGCGCAATCGATCGTGAAAGTGTAGAAAGGCATTTTTTGATCGGAAAAATGTCCAAATCATAATTGTCAATGCGCGCTCATGCGTTGTAATTTAAGTGAATTTTCTAAATATTTAAATGATGCCTCCAAATTATAGGCTGCCACCTGATTTATTAGATAAACAATAAATCAAACATGCGCTTGCGATGTAAATTAAAATGACGCAACTGTAAACGTTCGAAATCGTTCCCAAACACACACACACCTTAAGCGACAGACGGTGGCGTGGCTAATTAAAACGTCAAAGACAAACGTCGATTCGGAGCCAATAAGAAGCCCGGCTGGAATGATTTATAATTAAAATGTACGATAAACAAAATTTGAATAATCGCATTCAGGCAATGAGGAAAGTTGCCCAAGTCGTAAGTTTAGCCAAACTGTATGTTTGTGCCGCTGTTACACGAAAACTCTTAAATAAATTTTGATAAATTTTGGTACAGAGGTATTTTGATCCCAGGAGAATAACATAGACTGCTTTTTGTCGCAAAAATTTAACTTAAAATGTGCAAGAAGTGCATTAAAAGTTTAAAAAAAAGGTGACACATTCCTTAAGATACCTGCATGATCTAAAGACTTTTTGCTTAGAATGTTTATTGCCTAATGACAGAACCTGATGACTTTCTGACTTTTTACCTCTTCAAAGATGTCAATATCTCTTTAATGCTGTTCATTGTACCGTACGTGTAATTTACGTACCTATACCTAATGACCAAACGCGCATTACCTCGTAATTTCATGTCTAAAAGCACTGATTTGTCAAAAAACCTCGGCGCGCATTATTCTCTAGTGAATCTCAAAAACCAGTCGTGTGATACACGAGTAGCTAAGTAGATTAACGCCGGCTAAGTAATAATTAAAGCGAATTTAATCATTTCAATTCGTAAAATTTCACACAGCCGGATGATGACCTGGATGATCAAAAAGCCACGGAAAAGCATAATTAGATGCCGCCCAGATAACGCTACCACAACATTCGTTGTGCTATTTAATATTTAATTTCACTTGCAGTCGATTTAAAACTTTGCCATGCTTTGAGAATGGCTAATTATAACGACATCCGTTCAAAATGTTCAAAATTTTAAATACCCGAGCACATTTTCTCCGTCTTTGTTTTACAATCATGAGCAAAACATGTAACCGAATAAAAAGTTGCTAAGTTAGACGGTAACAAAAGAAAAACTCTCACAAATTGCGTGAATCTGTCTCTCAGAAGACGCCAGACGGTACCTCCAGGTATAAACAATTAACGCTCGGCTCCAACTTACCTGCAACAGAAAAAAAAAACACGTAAGAAAATTACATATTATCATCGACATCAATGTTCCCCAACAACCCAGCAAAGCATTAACTCTACAACATTGAGAAAAGACGTTTTCTCGGGTGATAAGCACCGGGCGATAACAAAAAAAATCTCCAGCACCCGGTACAATCAATCACAAAGATTGAAGACATCTTGTCGATTGATGCGTCGAGATACGGACGGCGTCGGCGCTGTTTTACCGCGAACGTTTACAACTTTGATGAATGATGATTTTATTGGACTATTGGGCCTGGCGCAAACGCGCGCACATCGGAATGCGCGGCATCTCTGCTAACACGCCGGGCTAATCTGATCGCTCCGGATAATACACGTAATAATGGCCCAGGCATTTACATATAAATGGAGCAAACGCGCGATTCATCATCGTCATCGCGTCGCATGGCAGCATCATGTCAATACGTCAATGATTTCCAAACTTCACTCGGTTTGTTTAAATATTTAACTATTAAACTCCTGTGTCGTAAAGTATGTGGTTATCGATGTTCATGGATCTCAACACGCAGTTGACGTTGGTTTTAGATGTAAATGAGGCATGAGCGCGCCGTGTGGTAAAAGCTATTAACGAATCAAAATCAACGGCGGGTTTAATTAGACTAATCATAATCGAGTTGCGCACTGCGTAAGAATTTTGAGCGTTTTGGACTTAATTGCAATGGACGTTAACAGACTTTCAACATTAATGTTTCAGAGACTTTGATAGGAATTATCTCAAAAACTAAATATGATAGAAAAGATCGGATTGAAGATTCTTAATCTCTGGAAAATTCTCTATAAGAAAAGCTAGTTGATAAATTGGAAATCAAAGAGATGAAATTTTAATGCAAAAGTAAATGAGAGTCAGCTATACATTCATCCGCGTACGGTGCCCTGAGCGCGAGTCACTTCTACCGCAGCCCTCGCAAAGTGCTCTGAAAGGGAGTCATTTCTACCGCTAGCTACGTACGGTGCATTGAACACGAGTCACTTCTACCGCTAACCTCGTACGGTGCCCCGAACCCGAGTCACTTCTACCGCTACCCTCGTACGGTGCCCCGAACACGAGTCACATCTACCGCTAGCCTCGTACGGTGCCTTGAACAAGAGTCCCTTCTACCGCTAGCGGTGCATATGAAAATTAAGGAGTTAAACAATGATTATAACAAAAAGTTTGCAATAAAAAACAATCAACGCGAGAAGACGCAAATAAACCTAACCAATTTTTATTCCCACACGAAGAATTTCTTGCATCTAAGTTTTTGATTGATTTGATGGGTGTAAAACAACTTCCGCCATTCCTGCGCATCGGGTTCAGGTAGCAATCGTCCATCTCGCGGCATCGGAAATCGCTGAGCACCGCGAGCAGCCACCTGAGCATGGCCAGTGACTCAGTCGCCTGCGCAAGCGCACAAAGTGGCGGCGCTGGCGCGGAACCGCGAATATTTCTTGCGAACATATCGATTGTTTATGCCGCTCGCGACGGCGGCTTGCAGCACACAGGTAGCACACACACACACACATACAAAACAAGCACAACTGGCAATTCGAAAGATATTCTATTTCCAGTCCTAGGCGGCTCCATGACTCGACAAAGAGTCGGATGGAATAAAGTTGAACTTGCGCGCGCAAAGTACGGTTACCCGGCTGGAAATCTGTATCAGTACCGATCGAAGAAAAACAAATTGCTGTAAAAACAGTCACCACGCAGAGATAAAAAGCATGTCTACCATCTAAAAATATTATCAATCGATCAAAGCCCGCATATAATATTGTCCGCGTTTTAATCGGACGATCGCTATCGCTAACGATCTGAGCGCGTCCCGAGCCAGGAGAAGACGTTTAGCGTGAACGTGCGCGGCGCACGCGTACCGACAATTAATCAAAAAAGCCGTCTCGATTGATCGATCGCTCATTTGCGGCGCGGGAATGCGCATTGTTCGGACTCCAAGCCAAGACGTCATGAACCATTAGTTTAGCACTGTCCGGCATATAGTTAACAACGTCAACCCTTGAGTTGACAAGGCCGGCGAAGACGCGATTACAATAAAAACGATTAATCCCGGCCGCGTAATGACCGCCCCGATCGTCATAAATTTTACGAGCACATAAACTCGCCCGACAAGCAAAAATCCACGATTGCAGCAGGTAAAATCGAGGTTAGAACTGTTTAATTGACGACATGTCAATTCCATTTTGCGTGGAGGAATGAATAAAATTACTTGTATGCATGTATATGCATGCGAAGAATAAAAAATTGAGGAAGAGGTATGTCTGGTACACCTGAGTCCAATTAACTACGGTGCGTTCTTGCGCATGCGCCCTACGGCATGCTAATTGGATTTTTAATTCAATTGCCTACGGAATTCTATTTTTAGCACACAAATTATTAATTGATAATGTCTGTGAGGACTTGCCTGCACAAAACCTATGTTGTGTATTTGAAAAGATAAGTAAATGTGTGCATTTTCACTTTAAGCAAACACGAAAGTACTAAGTGCATCTGCAGTGGCGAAGCAGCGCGCCAACAGAGAGAAAATTATAATATTGCGCTATAATTTTCATAATTACGCTGCTGCAGACGCTGGCTGCAAGTTTAAGTTTCTGCAACGGTGTCCAATTAGCTTGGGAGAGGCATTTTTTGCACTAGATGCCATTCCGCAGTGGAAATTATATAGAAAAACAAAGTAACCATTTCCGCAATTAGACGCGCGCAAAAATTTCAAATCCCCGAGCGAAACGCGACCTCATTCCAAGGTGTTGTCTTAATAATATCGCATAATTTATACATTTTACTTTGAAAACCCAACTAATCAAAGCGTCTCCTCCGAAAACATTTAAATTTTTACGCTGGCAACGGCCTCAGATTACGTCAATCAATCACACCACAACGCATTCTAACTCTTAGCATGCTGCTGCGGTTCACAATGACTCGCCAGCCGCTGATGAATTATGATGACCACGAAACATGACATGCCACGCGAAGAATTGACCGCACCGCACCGTACCAAATTCGAAAAAGTTTACTTACTCATTGTCGCGATTATCCGGACCACTTCGATGGCGTATATCCAACATTTGCAAGGTGACCGGCAGCGAATGATGCCCGATATCATCAGAGTCAACAATATTTTGAGGTGATCCGGACCCCACACTATTACCAGCACTGCGCGTGTTTGTGCACGAATCAAAATTCCTCGCATTTTTAATCGGAGTGAAAAATGACGCCGATTGAAAATTAGCACTGTATAAATTCGACTGTGTCGAATTCGGTTGCGGGAAATTCTCATAGAAAGGTTTACGCGTCGTAGAAGAACCTTCGTTTGATGACGAGGTGTTGAAACCACTGTCGAGAGCAGAGGTCTTACTCCTCAGCGCGGCACGTTTACCATAGAGTTGGCGATAGTATTTTTCCTGATCACCGTACATCCAACAGACTTTCCACCATTGCTTGCACATGAGGACATTCGCCGAGTTGGTATCCCGGCGGAATGCCGGGGTACTAACCGGGTTCGCGTTCGCGGTTATCATATTTCTATTTTATTCAAATGTGCATTTTCACAATCACAACAACCACGAAATTATATTCAAGATGCACCTGTCGCACAGCACCTGCGTAATTTTAATCCACACTCTCGAGGGTTGTTGGAAATGTTAAAACGGTTTCCGTGGTCTTCCGATCACGGGCCGATAGTGTAAGCACGCCACGCACCGACTGACCGCCGCGATATAAGAGACTAAAGTCACTTGTCGGTTGCGTTGAGTTGTGGTGTTCTTGCGAGTGCGCGCGCGCTGCTTACCTGCGTCGCACCTTCCCACTACACACACGAAAGACACAATGTTTACCAACTCGGCTCGCTCGACGCGCGAGAATTCAACGAACATTCAAAAATCAAAAATTAAAAAATCGCAAGTAGCTTAATTTAACGATCGAAATAATCACCACCGATATCAAAACAAAGCTCGTAAAATCAGAGCCGAATCTGGCAATCTTTTCGAATTACACATTTTTATAATTAAAATTTACGACCACGATCGAAAGTGAAACGAAGCTTTTAACTTGATACGTTTCGGATGAATTCGCTACGGGAAATTAAAATTCCTTCGGCTCCATCCACACGACGAATGAATACAGAAAAAAGGGTTAAACGTAAACGTAAAACGAATCTACATAGAGTTAAGAAGCTAGTCGCACTAAACCTAACTTAAGTCAGTTAATAGTCCAAGTTCTGATTTATTGAACATGTTTCGTTTGCTCTCGAAGAAATATTCGATCTTTTCGAGGGCAATTTGTTGTGCGTAAACTTGATTTTCGATCAATACCCTGGCGGGTAACAAATTGTTTACCTCCGGTTTTATTATAATTATCTTTCGAGTGGAAATCGAATATTCGTATAAACATTAATCAGTTGCGTGAATTTAAACGTTTATTTTATTGCCGATGAACACGAAATAAAAGATTCGAAATTTTTGAGATTTCGTATCATGTTTCACGCAGCATGTTGTGATGATATTCGAGAAGGCGATGAGTTTTTTACAACATTTACAATTTGTCGCACGATTAACCACTGCGAGAATTGGAAAAAAACGAAAGCAGTAGCTAAAATTGCACTGTAAACAAGTATAAAAAAGGAATTAGACGGGAAAACTAGTGAATAAAACTTGAAAGACAAAGTCGCGGAGAAGCGAAGTACGCGAGTTCCAGATTGATCGTTCTTCTCGGACCGTGATCGGATGATGGAAAAGGCATCGAATTTATTACTTGCCATGTGAGGCGCTGTCAGTCAATACGTCATGTTCCAAACGCAGCCAAAGAACGCACGATGAACATCTTGAAACATTCGTTACAACACTTATTCACCATCAGGCGAGTTACTTACAAGTAAAATATATTTAATATTTAACTCGCATTTTATTAATGAGTCAAATTCGATTAGAATTAAAATACGCGCGCAACTAATTGATTTTTGTTGTTGCTAGCCAAAGATTTCGATCGATATAATTTCGGCAATAAATAAGTCCACTTAAAATACCAGAAATTGCTCACTCCTAGAAATCGAGATTAAAAATTCCCAGGAATAAACTCTCAAATCAATGAAATCTCGACTATTTACTAAACATCAAAATACATTAAAGGCAGAGTAGTTTAATTTCGTGCCTCATTAAAGTGAGTTGCGGTAAATTCCTCACATTTCCAATGTTAAAACCCCCAAAAACAGGCGCATACGGTAGTTTTTAAACGTTTTATGAGATATGCCCAATGCTGTCTGTGAACTGTGAACATGGGAACGTCTCGGGTGGTCCCACCCAAAAAGGTCCGTGGTGTGTCGTATAAAAATGACATAAATTGGGAGCAAATTACGAGCGACACCTGTGTTACAATCACAGCATTCACTGAGGAAGCCGACGCGGCCGTTGAAAAGGTTTTAACTCTAAGATATTTATGTGATGGACCATAACTCACCGGATATTAGTTTTTCCCGAGACATAATCACATGTAATCGTAAACAATTACATGAGATTACCAAAGCGGAGAAAAAACGCGGATAGGCACAAAAAATGATAATGATAAGTACGCGGTAGTTTGAGTGAGTTGCGCATGCGTACTGTAGACTTGGCTAATGAGATCACCCAGCGAGCGGCGATTTGTAAAGCGCTTTGTTAATCGTTTTCCTTCATTTATTATCGCAAGACTTGCAATTTGTAACATTGCTAAGTTTTAAGCGCTTGCAATTAGTCAAAATGCAGTAATGGCGTTCGCTAAACTTACTTTTCTTGTCATTAAGGGTGTTTTCCTTACCTGAAACAAAATAATTCAAAATTAGTTTTGTGTGTTTTCATTTATCAATAATTTTAATTAAGTTTCGCAAAGAGTAAAGTAATAAAAACGAAAGAGTGGTGTGCATGTAGACATAGAGTAGCAATTCCAGCAAGTTTGCTAATGGCATTAATGGAAGATTTTAGCGCGTTGAGGCGTGCAATAACATTCAAAATTGCTTTGATTATTGCGCCGGGAACAAATCGACAAATTGTCAATGCGCGTCGAGATCTGAGGGCGCCGACAGCCGAAGGACAATGAAAACAATAACATTCCGAACGAAGGATACTGACTGGTGTGTGTGTGGCGATGATGAGATGCAATGCAAGATGGAAGAGAACCGGAATAAAACACATCCAACACGCCGACCGAATGCGGAATAATAGGAACAGAAGAGTGCGTCTCTCCTCTCGCGCGCGGAGCACTACGTGATGATTTTTATTTTTACGATAGCCGAAGACGAGGGGCACCATTAAAGTTATTATCGTTATTATTATATTGCGCTCGAAACTCCAAATGTCGAAACACGCTCGGAACGTGTCCTGAGCGGATGCGTGTTTATATTTACTATTCGATCCCATTTCAATCGATTGAGTTTTTTTTTCTTTTAATACACTTCGATGGGGAATTGGAAATTTCATCCGAAATGCTATTATTACATGCTGAAGGTAATTTCCAAGGTTGTTACACAAAGAAAACCAATTTTCTCCAACTTTTTGATATCAAATTTCAAATTTCACCGCAATCTGCTTTCTTTTGATGGACATTGAGTGATTCCATCATTAGCTGCATCCGAATGACATAATTTATTAAGTATATACATGGAGCGCGCGCGGAGAGGACCACCGAAAAGTTTCCTAACAAACTAACAATGTATTAACGAACCTAACGTATTAATCAAACGGTTTGGTTTCGCCTCGCGGCTGAGAAATCATTAATTTTTCAAAGAGCTACACGATTACCGATCGAAAACTACCAAAACTGCTATAGTTAATGATTTATTGTCACTTTGTAGACGCAATTTGTTTACAATATCCGCAGCCTACACTAGCACAACTCAAGGTTAGTTTGATGTTTAGTTACTAGTTGGTTTTTTGTGGCAAGGAATTCATACTGTATAGTAAAACAAATTAAATTCAGCTTTCATGGTCTGACGGTTTTATGCTCGGCGGCTTGTTTTGTTTTGCCATATAATTTAATTATATATGTCGGCGTTTATATTTCTGCTTGTATATAGAGTGCCGATGGAGCCGCGGCCATAGATTTAATTACCACTACTAATATCGGCCGACATTCGACAGGCGGCATCCGACGCAGTGACGCGTAATAGCGGCCATTATCGGCGAAGTTAATTTCATCAACAGTTTGGCGACACAGTACCGCACGAATGAATGTGCATTCAATTGCAATCGAAAACACTATTTGGCAGAGGCATAAAATGACAAAAAAAAGTTATATTTTGCATGCAATAAATTGCTGCCCGGCGTGTTGCATTTGCAGCAGACGCATTTATTATGATTATCGGACTTTGGCGGCGCTTGGACAAATATCCACAAACGGCATAGATTATGCTTTATCAGCGCAGCCTACCTTGAAAATTAAAACAAATGTTGTTTACGTGCTATTATTCACGCACAATATTGCGTTATATTGATGTGCAGGGCCGTACCTGGGTAAAATAACTTTAAAATCGAATATCAATGGTTCCATGGTGTAATGGTTAGCACTCTGGACTTTGAATCCAGCGATCCGAGTTCAAATCTCGGTGGAACCTGCGTTTTGCCTTTTAGACGCTGTTTCAGCAATATTTTGATAAAAAATTTAGATAATTAACATTTAATCGCCAAAATTATTCCCAAATCTTTCATCTGAGGTTCCATGGTGTAATGGTTAGCACTCAGGACTCTGAATCCTGCGATCCGAGTTCAAGTCTCGGTGGAACCTTCAATTCTTTTATTTATTAACTTTAAATAAGCCCATTTGGTGTTATGTTATGTTATGTATTATGATTGCGCGATTCCATCCGTCGATAAAACCAACAAGCTGATTAACACCACCATCAGATAGCGCGCACAAAAATCCACAGCAGTGCTTGCGTCCGGAGTTAATTAACAAAGAAGCAATTTGCTTGAAAGTAGCCAAGAAAATGTCGGGCATAACAGCTCCGACTATCTAGTCTCCATTCTCTGCGCAGCGCTTTTGTTTGCGAGTCATTTATTCGATTATCTAAAGCGGGCGACCAAGAACCGATTACAACACGCGAGAGGCAAGATTACGCGCGCGCTCTGCGAAGGTATCTTTTCATTAATCGAGAGTTACTTAAACGGCAGCTGCAAATACCATTAGCGATTACAAAGCGTCCGATTGTTTTTGTCAAAATTTATGCTCCCCATGATTTAATTAACTAACTCTCCGAAAAGAGTGTCGGAAACTTACTTTCTATTCCATATTTGTTTTGCCTATGGGAAGCTCGACGAATCGACGGTTGCATGTTCGTGAAAGCATGTAAGAAGCAAGAATCCAAGTCGATCGTTAATTCTGTCATTAATCATGCGAACAAGAACACCAGCCAAAAGACTAGTAGTGAACTAATCCGGTGGGCAACCCGAAAAAACACAACGCGTAGGACGCGGAATTACTCAATATATAAACATACCATGTGTCCGTTGAAATAAAACATAATTAACAGGAGAGTGACAAATGATTAGTTAATAAAGGTGGAATTAATGCTAATTAGAAAAGGCAAACTAACGCAGCGAGAGACCGCGCTTAAGTGGCTTTTAAGTCATAAGACAAGAGAAACGCGGACCGGTAATGACATCCACGTCAGGCATAAATGCATAATAATGCCGCGGAGGATGATGATCGATGCGATGCGTGCGTCTCGCCGATGAACGATTTTAATTA